GTTTACATCCCTACATTATCTCTTTTTATAGCCAGACTGTTTTACTCTGTCCCTGCAGTTCCAGGCCCCTGATCTTAAAGAACATAAACACCCCAAATTCCAGGAACTTTTGATCTGCCAGTCTTTTTTTTTTCTTTAGGACAGTCTGAATACAGAAAGATGTTCTTGTCAGTGTGGTTGTGCAATACTAACTTGTACGTTATGAAATCTTCAGGGAAAAATTTAAGGGCAGGAAGATGGACAGTTGTCTGTGTGATCAAGATACAGTATTGCCTGTAGGCAGGATGAAGAACTAATGAGATTCCTTCCAATGTAAACATCATAAATCTTTATTACAGTTTCCCCCATTTTTGACTCCTTTCAAGAAAGGATGAACATGGTCAAGGAAACTCAACAGAGAGAACAATGGACATCAACATTCTGATGTCACCTGTTTGCCAAAGGATTTGACTGGTGTGTGTGCACGCGCGCACACGTGTGTCCTCATATTTGTGTTTGATAACTGAGGTCCGAAGGATAACTGTGCTTTGCCCAACATCACTTGGCAACTGGGAACTGTGGGCCTCTCATGAAAAACAAAAATGGTAGGTATGTCTATGAATATATGGGAACCAGCTGTTAACAGCTGTTAATCACCTTATTACTGCAAAGGATCTAATTAGCCTAGTACTTTCTACTCTTCTCTGTCCACCCTACCAAATCTTTCTCTTAAAGACCATGTATCAGCTGTTTGCATCTCATTGTGAATCTAACTTACAGAATTCTCCTAGGACTACTTGAGTCTAAGCCTTATCTCTTCCTTGGCCTGTACACTCAAATTTTCACTTTTTATAGGATCATTCCCTCCAGCTGCTAAATACATTGCAATCTTTTCTATTTTTAACAAACAAAGCTTTCTTCAACAATGCATTTCCCTCCAGCTACTGCATTCCCTTCTTAGGCAAACTTCCCAAAAGAATTTCTCTAATAAATGTTTCCCCTTTTCTGATTTATTCTCAATCCATTGTGTTTCAGTTCTATTCCCAGGATTTTACTGAAGCTGCTGTCATTTAATTGTCAAACCAGTGGACATTTCTCAGGGCTTATCTTATTTGACCTTTCTACTGTAGTAAACACTGTCAACCACCTACTTGCTTCTTCTGGAAACTTTTATTCTTGCTTCCAGATAACTATTGTCTTTGGTTTTCTTTCTACTGCTTCCTGTTATCCTTTACAAGCTTGTTTTCCCTGTGCCTGTCCTTTTATGCTTTTCCCAAATGGAAGTAGTTTTATTTTTTCTGATTAAAAAAGGAATATAACCCTAGGTTTGATCCTTGATATCACACCACACACACACACACACACACACACAATCAGATCTTTAGAGAATTATAAATAAAAACATAAAATCTAACTGAAATTCCCCAGAAGTAACCACTGCAAACATTTGGGTGTATATCCTTCCAGACTTTAAAAATTATTAGGTAGGTTGGGGATGTAGCTCAGTGGTACTGTGCTTGCCTTGCATGCACCAGGCCCCTGGGTTATATATATCATATACATTAATACAAATGGTATCACACTACAATTTTTTTACCATCTTTTTCACCTTTTCATAGATTTCATTCCATATTAACACGCGTGGAACATTATTTTTTTTGGTGATGGACACTGAACACAGCACATGCTAAGCACATGTTCTTTCACTGAGTTACACCTCTAGCCCAAACCATAACTTTAAATGGATATATCCTATAGGAGAATCCTGAATTTGGCCGTTTATACAAGAGACTGGGTTTTATAGTAGAAGTGACTGAGATACAATGTCCTGTAAAATAAAACATCTTGTACCTCAGTTAATTAATTATTGCAGCGCTGGGGATCAAACCGAGGGCCTCATGCATGCTGGGCAAGCACTGTACCACTGAGCTACACCCCCAGCCCTGTGTAACCCCTTTACAGGACTTGTCGTATAGACAGATTCACAAGCCTGGCATAGTGGCATGCGCCTGAAGCTACCAGGGAGGCTGGGGTGGAAGGATGGCTTGAGTCGGTGATTCAAAACCAGTCTGGCAACATAGTGAGACTGTTTCAAAACAAAAAACAAAAACAAAACCCCAACCAAATTATCAAATTAGAAGAAAAGAGCTACAAAAACATTGCATGAAATGAGTAATTACTTTAAAAAAGTGAAATCCTTTACTAGAGTCTTTATGTGATTAGCTGAGTATTTCCTCAGAATAAATTATTGGAAACAATTTTTTTTGAGTCAAAAGTTTCAGTAAATAATATTTAAATTTTTTCTTTTTTTTTTTGGCTTTTTGAGAAGTGTCTCACTATGTAATGCAGACTGGCCTTGAGCGCACGGCAATCCTCTTGCCTCAGTCTCCTGAGTGCTAGGATTACAGGCATGCACTACCATGCCTGGCTAAAATGTTTTAAAAATACAAAAGTAATAAATGAAAAACAACTTTGCCTGCCGTTCAAGACTCCTGTTTCCCAGTTCTGCTTTCCAGTGACAGCTAGTACTGTATTACATGTTTTCTTGCAGTCAAAGTTGTTTTTTAAACACATGCCAATTTGTTTCCCAAAAAGGGATTCACTTTCCCAACAAAATTGCATAACCTCACCAATTTAAGTCCTCGGTCCTTATCTTCACAGTTTTCTTTCTACACCATATGTTGATGACTCCCAAGTCTTTATCTCTAACCCGGAGCAAGCCCTTGAGCTCCAGGCAACTATTTCCAGCTGCCATTTGGACCTCTCCGACTGGATTTTCCTAAATTGAACTCACTGTCTTTTCAAACTTACTGCTCTTTCTGTAATCCAATTTTTCATGGATGGTACCTAGTTATGTAAGTGAGAAATGTAAGGGTCATTTTCAGTTCCCTCTTCTGCCAACCCCCAAACAGTAGCAATAGCTAACAGTTACTGAACACTTACCATTTGCACATAAAATATTTTATTTTATTGAATTCTCAAAGCAGCCCCAGAGGTAGCTATCAGTCATAACGTTTTCATTTTACAATTGAGGAAAACTGTATAACTTGCTGAAGGTTATACAGCTAGGAAGCTGATATTTAAACCCAGACAGCCTTAATCCCTGGTTTACATGCTTAAATCCTATATTATACTGTACTGCTATCATATTTAATACAAGTCCTATCTATTTTATTTCCTTAATCTCTGTTCTATCTTTTACCTTTTTTCCATTTCCACCATCACCCGATTTTCTTGTCAACATCTTTATAGTCACATTCAATTTAAATATATTTTCCATGTTATCTGCAAAATCATCCCTCTAAAACACAACTCTGAGCATGTCTTTTTCCTGCTTAAGATCCTTCAACAGCTTCCTTTCACCTATCATAAGGTCTGCTCTGCCCATTCCCAGCCAACCTACCTTTAAATACGTCCATCCCACAATCGGAATTGGTAATAATTGCCTGAAAATACCATATTGTTTCTTATCACAAGGACTTTGTATATGTTGTTTTTTTTTTCCTTCCAGAAATTACCTTTCCCCATTTCCACTCTTATTTGTTCTTTATGTCTTTTCACTTCTGTTAAACTCAAAGGCTTTTTCTTCCAGAAAGCCTTCTCTAATTCTTCCAATTATACATGTATGTCCTATGTTACTTTTTAGCATTTGTTTAATTTTGCAGTACTAGGGATTGAACCCTGGGCCTTCACACTGAGCTACATCTCTAGCCCTTTTAATTTTTTGTTTTTTTTAAAATTCGAGACAGGGTTTTGCTAAGTTGCTAAATTGACCAGGCTGGACTTGAATTTGTGATCCTTCAAACTCAGCCTCCCAAAGTGCTCAGAGAACAGGTGTGTGCTACCACGCCCAACTAACATTTGCTTATTTTCAGTTTGTCATATTATATTAGTTTTGTTGTCTCCCTCAATAGAATGTTAATTTCTTGAGGGCAGGGACTCTCTTATTTAACTCTAGGTCTCCAGTATTTTCCATGGTATTTCACATGTGAGTAGTTGCTTAGTAGATGTCAGTTAAATTGAATTAAATAATTGTGAAATTGTAGGGCCTTGTGTTTTGTTGAAAGAATTTCAGGCATCAGTGATATAGGAAAAAAATTTTCTTTGAGACAAGATCTCAGTATGTAGCCCTGGCTGGCCTCAAATTCCCCATCCTCCTGCTTCAGCCTCCTGAGTGTAGGAGTGTTTGGGATTACAGGCATGCTTCACCACATCTGGCTGGGAGATATTTTTGGAGGAACGGAGGGCAGGTGAAGGGAGGAGGAAAGAGGAATGATCTGAAATGATTACCTGTCAATCCCTTAATGTAATGTGGAGCATGTGATTAGTTTCATAAATATTAGTATTTCTATAGATGATTCCAGGTGGATGTGTATTCTAGCTCCATTATGGCAAGCAACCTTAGAACACTGCCAAGTATGGAGTTCTGAAGTGTATTAAATAAGTGCTGTCAAATTTGCTGAGAAATTAACACTGAGTAAACCTGGAGTTAGCTTTCCCACGGCAACATGTAGAGGAGGAAGATGAGTCCAGTTCTCCTGAAAAGTGAGGAGTCATCTCTGTGTTACCCCGTTATAGTTGCTCGCTGCTTTCTTGCCACCTGCTCAATTGTGTGCGGCCTGAATTGAAAGCATCAGCGGCACCTGCGGTGAGGCTGCATTCTAGGTTCTCGGTACTATTGTTGGAACCCCACCCTCCAGAGATCACCCTTCTATTTTCGCGGAAAAGCCGGATTTATTCAGGTCACGGGGCTTTGGCCTATCATTGTAGAATCCTAGCTTGTGGGGCAGTGCCCGCTGCTGATTGATACACCGTCTGAGACAATTTCTTGGGTTGAGGAGCGTTGATTGGCGGAGGCTGCCCCTGGTGCTTCGCAGGGTATTGGATGGCACCACGGAAGATCCAGGTTCCGGGGTAGCCACCATCATCACCCGGAAGCCTGAATGAGGCCTCTTCCGCACAGTAAGTGCAGCCACCAGTGCCTGTGCCATGCAGGGCGCAGGGCCCGGGCCCGGGCAGCGTGCGCGTGCGTGCCTGCGTGGGCGCGCGTGCGCGGCGCCGCTGTCTGTGGGTTGGCTGGTTATTTTGCAAGCGGGAGGGGCCGTGCGCGCTCCTTCCTCGGCTTCTGTCCCCCACCCCCCTTCCCCGGTCCCCGTCTCTCCTTCGTAAAGATGTCGGACACGGCAGTAGCTGACACTCGGCGCCTTAACTCGAAGCCTCAGGACCTGACCGACGCTTACGGGCCGCCGAGTAACTTCCTGGAGATCGACATCTTTAATCCTCAAACGGTGGGCGTGGGCCGCGCGCGCTTCACCACCTATGAGGTTCGCATGCGGGTGAGTCACGGGGTGAGGGAGACAGCTGAGGGGGGGCTGCGGTGGAGGCTGCTCTGAGGACGGCTAACGGCGGGGAAGACGCCTGAAGGGGTCGCTTAGGGGTTAGGGGCGTAATAGGTTTAGAGAGCGCTCTGCAGACTCGGTTGTGGCCCCAGGATGCACAGAACTCCTGAGGGGGACATCGGATGACGGTGCGGGCGAACAAATAGCCAGGAGGAAGAAGTGCAGCCCGGCTGGGCAGGGTGGGGAAGATGGAAAAAGATTAGAGTGAGGAATTCGACTAGATAGGAATCTTGACTGACTGATGAAAGAAGAAAAGGGAGGGTGGAAGAGGGCTAGGGGATGGAGAGCCGAGGCGGATACCGCCGGGTCCCGTAACTAAGCTAGGTTTGGGGAGTCAGTGTGGAATGGGAGGGCAGGAAGGTAGGGCTTCTTGCCAATCAGGTCTCCCTGGGATGATGGACTCAAGCGAAGCCTCGGACTAGAGGCCAGATAGACTCCGGGAAAGAGTGGCAGTAAGCTCATAGAGGCAGAAATAGAAAGGGAGTCCCCTGGAGACTGAATACTTCCCTGACTTGTCTAAGGTTAACACCTGGAGGAGAGAGATGTTTTATGCTTAAGTTTTCTCAGGTACCACATGCTGCGTCTCCCCGTACAGCCTGGCTCTGCACTGGAATGGGTGGATTATCCGACGAGGCTCTCATCCCGTGCTGATCTTTTAGATTTGAAATATCCAGAGTGTTTACTTCCATATTTATCGCCTCTCATTTGGGTTCTGTGTATATGAATGGCTGTTTGCCTTTTCTGTCCTACATTAACCTTTTGGATTTCTACCCTGGTCTGTAGTTACCTTAATGCATAACATTTCAGAACAGACTGCCCCAGGAGTGGCTTTTTCCAGTGTACACCACAGAGGACTTTATTCTGTAGTGCTTAGTCCAGAGGGTAAGGATGGAATGTGCAGATAGAGTACATAGTTTGCAGATTCTTTTGTCCAAAGTGGTTATAGGTAAAACCTTTAAGAACCATTTCCTGGTTTTATGTTTTCTTCTCAGGCTACAAAGCTAGAATATTCCTTATGGATAGCATCTGCTTAAACAGCGTTGAAGACCTAAAAGAGTGTATGAATTGAATGAGAAAGTGTGGTCTCCTTCGTGGACTTTGAAATCTCATTGACGGATTATCTATCTCCAAAAGAAAGAACGAATAGCAAAACATGAGAAACACTTGTCTTTTTTTGGCAATACTGGCCTCACACGTGCTAGACATGCACTTTACCACTGAGCTACACCTCCATCCCAACATTTGTGTGTGTGTATGTCTCTTTTTTTTGTGGTACTGAGATTGAACCCAGGACATTTGCACTGAGCTACATCCTCACATCCCTAGTCCCTTTTCTTATTTTTATTTTGAGACAGGGTCTTGTTAGAATCCAGGCTAGGCTCTAACTTGCAGTCCTCCAGCCTCAGCCTCCCAGAGCACTGAGATTACAGGCATGTCACACTGTACCTGGCAATACCTGTCTTATGTAGATAAGAACTATTTGAAGTCATGTCTTTGGGGAAGAATGGAATTTATGTATTTCAAAATATAAAAGGAGCTGAGGGTGTAGCTCAGTGGTGCAGCAGATAGCATGCTTGAGGCCTTGGGTTTGATCTCTAGCACCACAAAAACAAGTAAAAAACAAAATATGATAAAAAAAGAACTGTTATTGCTGCAGAACTTAATGACCTGATGGAACCTAGGCACAACATGTTCAGTATAAATACTCTGCTGTGAGTGTTTGAAGACATTGTTTATCCTCTTGGACTACTTAAAAGTCTTAGGAATTATGAATGTAATAGCACCCTCCTTCAGGTAATCTAATAACAACAGAGACTGTTAATCTTGTGCCTTTTATGTGCCAGGCATTGAACTAGATTTTAGTGCCTATTTTTATCCTTACAAAAACCCATTTTACAAATGGTAAGCCAAGGAGGAATGTAGTTTAACTTGTTCAGGTATATGTCACTGTAACCGACAGGGCTGGGATTTGAACCAAAGTCTGATGGACCTCAAAGCCCATGCTCTTTCCACTATAGTCTGTGGCAAGGCTTACAGTTTTCCTACCAAGTTTCTCATCAGTCCCTTCCACAAATGTATAATAATGATAGAGTTGATGGTGGTTCCTTGCTCAGTAGGTTTGAGTTAATTTGTGTTGTTTATATTAATTTGTATGGTTGTATAGGCTTTTGTTTTTCAGTACTGGGGAATGAACCCAGAGCCTCACAATGAAGCTGTATCCCCCGCCCTTTTTTTTGTATTTTGAGACGGGGTTTTGGTAAGTGTCCAGACTAGGTTCACTCCTGCTCAGTCTCCCTCCTTCCCCTCTCCAGAGTAGTAGGACTGTAGACAGGCAGTGCCACACCTGGCTAAGCTTTTGATATTTTTATTGAAGCATTTGCATTTATTTATTATTATTTTTTGACAGGGTGTCCCTGTAGGCTGGCTTTGAAGTCACTGTTAGCCTAGGTTGGCTTTAAACTCACAGTGATTCTCCTGCCTCAGCCTCCTGAGTGCTGTGATTACAGGGGTATGCCACCACACCTTTAACATTTGTTTTTTTGTTTGTTTGTTTTTGTTTTTTTTTTTGAGACAGGGTCTCACTACACAATTCAGGCTGGTCTTGCACTCACTTTGTAGCTCAGGCTGGTCTTGATCTCAGAATGATCCTCCTGCCTCAGCCTCCCTGACCATTGGGATTATAGGCGTGCACCACCATTGTAGCTTTTTTTTTTTTAACATTTGTGTTTATTAAAAAATTTTTTCTGTGGTGCTAAGGATTGAACCACAGGCCTTGCCTGTACTAAGCATATACTCTATAATGGACCTCTACCCTCAGCCCCATATAATAAATATTGCTGAAGCTCTTCTCTTTCATTTTGTTCAATAAGGAATCCTGTCCTCATGGGGATTTGGAGAGGTGTCTTGGTGACCTCACATTGTGAAGCTCTAGCAGAGCTCCAAGATGCTCTTTTCTTCCCAAGAGGCAGTTGTGGAAAAAGACAAAGTTCCTTTTATTACCCATCCAGTGATATGATTTGGTGGGAAGTAAATATGGTCATGATTAATGCATGTGGTTGGCCATTTCCATTTAGAACTTGTCGATAGGAGTAAGATTAGGGCTTTTTGTTTGTTAGGGGTTTCTGTTGTCACTAGAGTCTGGGGAATCTTTTCAATGATTAAGATGTGGGAATGAGCCAGTTTATATCAAGGAGCAAGCTGTGGTAAGCCAACTTATATAATGGCTATTCTGTATTTTCTAAGTAAGGGCAGGATAAACATACATAGGGTTTCTCTTAATCAATTGAGTATTTATTGAGTAACATGTATTTTAGGGACTTGAAATAGTCATGGTTCCTGATTTTTTTTTTTTTTTTTTGAAGTACTAGGGATAGCACTCTGGGCACTCTACCACTGAGCTACATCCCTAGCCCTTTTTGTTTTTATTTTGAGACAGAGTCCCACTAAAGTTGCTGAGGTTGGCCTTGAACTTGTGATTATTCTGCTCAACCTCTCGAGTTCTGAGATTACAGGCTTGTGCCACTGTGCCTGGCATAGTTCCTGATCTTGATGAGATCATAATTTAGTTAGGTAGGCAAGACAAACAGGATATATATAACAACAGTGTGTAAAGAGATAGGAAAGTGTAAAAGTTTGGCAAGTTCGGAAAGGATACCAGTATATCCAGCTGGTATTGTCAGGAGAAATTTCCTGAATGAAGTGAGATTGAGATAGGGCTTATAGAGTGGAAACAATTTGAATAGAAAAGTAGAGGAAGGCATACCTTGGTGATATTTACCTCTTTATTTATTTTTATTTTTCGCAGTAATGGGGTTGAACCCAGGGCCTGTGCACTGAGCTACATCCCCAGACCTTTTTTTATTTTTTATTTTGAGGCAGGGTCTCACTAAGTTATTAAGTTGCCCAGGCTGGGCTTGAGTCCTCTTGCCTCAGCCTCCCAGAGTGCTGGGATTATAGGTGTGCACCACTGCATCTGACTTATCTCTTTTTCTTTATAGGGAACTTTAGTTTTTAATGGAAAATGTAATATGTGGATGTGATACATTGTATAGTAAACAATATTATTTTCACCCAGTCTAGTTGTCTGGTCTTACTCTCCAAAGGTAATCTCTGTGACCAATATCTTTTAACTAATTAATTAATATATATATATATATTATAAACACAAAAAGAGGCAAGCCCCCCCCTTTCTTTTGTCATTTTGAGGCAGGGTCTCACTATGCAGTTCAGCTGACCTTGAGCTCACTTTGTAGCCCAGGCTGGCCTCAAACTCACAACGATCCTCCTGCCTCAGCCTTCCGAGTGTTGGGATTACAGGTGTGCACCACTGTGCCTGGCAAGCCCTGCCTCCCCCGCTTCTGTACCTTGATTTTACCAGTTAATACCTTTCCATACTGGCACATACAGATCTTCCACATTCTTTTCTTAGTCATATAGTGTCCCAATTGTACAAGTATACCATAAATCATTTAACCAATTTTCTGTTGATGGACATTATTGTTACAAATAATAAAATGCAGTGAAAACACGTGTGTGTGTGTGTGTGTGTGTGTGTGTATGTGTGTGTGTCTGTCTGTCTGTGTATTTACATACAGCTTCAGGTAGATTTGTAGGTTAAATTCTAAGCAACAAGGAACCTTTTTTTTTGCATTGTTAGGAATGGGACCCCAGGCCTTGTGCATGCTAGGCAAGTACTGTACCAGTGAGCTACATCCCCAGCCCCAATTGTGACATGGTTGGACACGGTAATGGTTAGTAGTTACCTGATGGTGTTTTGAAAGGGTTATAGGTACGTGGTTCATAAGGGCTATTAGACCTGCCCAGTGGTTGTGACAGGTAGCCAGCTACCACACCATCTTTCTTCTTTCATTCTTCCTTCCATGTAGACAAACCTACCTATCTTCAAGCTGAAAGAGTCCTGTGTACGGAGGCGCTACAGTGATTTTGAATGGCTGAAAAATGAATTGGAGCGAGATAGTAAGGTATGTCCTATCCCGTGGCACTCTTAGAGGAAGAGATTTACATAGCTTGAGAGGGTATAAGATCATGTTCTGTAAAATCTTGAAAGGGAATGGAGAGAGTGAACACACTCTTTTTTTTTTTAATTTTAAAAATAAAAGGAAGAAAACATTAACAGACAGACAACCTTTTACAAAATAGCAAAAGAACAGTACAGACAATACAGAGTTACAAACAAAATGGGAGGAAATTAACAATGCTTGTTGTATTACATACTGGTATCTTCAAAGTGGTTTCTCGTGAAAACAGATAGAGACATGCAATATTGATCAGTCAAGGACTCATTAACAGTTTCTTTCAGCAAAGAAATAGAAGACAGTAGAACAACTATGTTAACTATCCTGTATATACATACATACACACTCTTATCTACCAAATGCCAAGATTTTGGATCTGGGAATATCATTTGAAACTTGAAAGAGGTAAGTTTAGGGCAGTGTTTTTATTGGTATATGTTTGTGATGCATAATTACATTCATCTTGGGGGAATGGTGTATGTATATAACCTATCTTGATCGTTTTTACTACCCCTTTCCCCCTCTGGCCCCTTCTCTAGGTCTGCTTCCCATCTTCACAGAGTCTAGCCGGCCTTGACAGTCCTCCTGCTTCAACATTTCTTGCAGTGCTGGGATTACAGGCGTGTGCCGTCACACCCACCTGGTTTTAGTTTTTGCAAATTACTGTCCTTGAGACAGGGTGGATCCTATGCCTAGGAAGAGATGAGTACCATTTCACTCGCTCTCGTTCCTTCTCCCATGGGGCTGATATATTGCATCTTCCTCTAGATTGTAGTACCACCACTGCCTGGAAAAGCCTTGAAGCGGCAGCTCCCTTTTCGAGGAGATGAAGGGATCTTTGAAGAATCTTTCATTGAAGAAAGGAGGCAGGGTCTTGAACAGTTTATTAACAAGTAAGCCAACCCCAGTTCTTGGGAGCTCTGCTTGCTACTTCTGCCATTATGGCCTTTCTGGATATTTTGTCCAATCTTGTGTTTTTTTTTTTTTTGTAAGGGGTACTGTGATGTGTTGACTGTGTAGTGGGCTAACTGCACCGTAAATCTCTGTTCCTTTGAGCAGAATTCTGATCCTGTGTACCAGGGCCTAAAGGAACACTGTATATGAATGGCTGCACCTTGAGATTTCCCTACCTTGCCTTCTGTCCCCCTTTCCCTCTACAACATTAGGGCTGACGTGTACCCTGCTGCTGTTCTCCAATGGTGCAGACGTTAGGGCTGACCTTGTTCTTCCTCCTGTCTCCACTCCCCTCCCTCTGCTAATTCTGTGATGCCCAGCACTACTGATAACCATCTTGGTCTCTTTGTAGAATTGCTGGGCACCCACTGGCTCAGAATGAACGCTGCCTACACATGTTCCTGCAGGAGGAGGCAATTGACAGGAACTACGTCCCTGGGAAGGTGCGCCAGTAGGAGCCCCTCTCACCACCTGCCCTCTACTTTCCTGCTGAGATGACGTTGGTTTTTACACTAAGCCTCTCTCTCTCTCTGATCTGAAGTTGGCTGCCCGTCCCCTGGCCTGATAGACTGTCTGCCATTGTACCCCTTGGTACCTCCTGACTACACCTTGTGGGCATTCGGAAAGGATCTTTTCTGAGGAGATGTAGGAAATCACAGGCAGATGCCCTTTGCTTGGGGGAGGGTGGGTGGGTGGGGGGTTGGACTGGAAGGCAATTTCTCGGGCATTTACCCATGCCAAGGCAAACCTTGTATAGGGGGGCTCACGCTGGTGACACTTACAGACAAACCGATGCTGCAAGTCCAGGGGATTTTCCTTCTTAGGTTTAACCAGGAACACTGAGCGGGGAGAAAAACCCTGCCCTTTCTACCTGCATGAACTTTTTCTTTTTGGGGAAAGTGGTAGAGATCCAGAAGCTCTCCATGTTTTCTCTAGGCCCATTCCCAGTTTTCTCAGCAGTTTTTTTTTATATCATTTTTTCCTCTCTCTTGTTGCTTTCCATGGCAGTAATCCTCCTAGAGTCTAAGCAATCTGTTGTGTTGAGCAAAGTGTGGGTTTTCTGGGCCCATCTTCATGGCTGCTGCAGAGTCAGAAGAAAGCCATAGGGAGTAGGGGAGGTCCTGTTGCCTAGCCCTCCTTTCTCTGTGGCTCCCTACTCTGGCTGCCTATTTTTGCTTCCCAGCAGGTGGGTCAGTATGGGCCAACAGTTCTCCCGCCCCAAGCCTTTGCTACTATATGAGTTAGCTTTGCAGGTTTGTTGGCTTCAGGGGTGGGGATAACTCACCACTGCCAAGTGCCTCCTTGAACGGTGGCAGTTGGTCATATTCTAGGTTCCTCCAGATTGTAGGGAAGAACGTCACTACTTTCTTCCTTTCTTTCTTCCTTCCCCATCCCGTTTAGTGCTGCCTCAAGAGCAGAAGCACACAAATAAACACAGTCTCTGATTTCTCCTAAGCACTTTGAGCTGTTGAATGGGGCTCAGGGGCCAGGGTTGTCACTGCTCTCCCCAGCTTGGTCACAAGGTTATTGAACTGCCTGCACTTGTTTCCCACAGAACCTCAGCATTCTCCCCAGGGCCAGCAGCTGGGTATGGATTTCCTAAATTTTAGTCTAAAGTAGCTTCTTATGGCTGACAAGTGTCCTGAGATTTTGTCCGGAAGGGAGTGCTTTTTTTGGGGCTGGGGTTCACTGTCTCTCCTAAGTGGTAGGATGAGACCAAGTTAACTCTGGTGCGTGGTGAAAGCTGGGGCCCTTTGCTTAGATCTCTATCATGAAAGCCTTGGGGAAAGGATTGCTGATTCTGTGACGACCCTGGTCAGAGAGGTTAGGATTAGATTTTGACGAGTGGAGCCCATCTAAATGTTGACATTCCTGGAGACAGATGAACTCTGTAGCTGCTGAGCTCCCTTTCCCACCTCGCCAGTGTTGGTATTGTTGCTGCCTTTTTGATTTGTATCCTTTATTATAACCTTTTTTTTTTTTTTTAAAAAGATTTCTTCTTTCATTGTGCGCAAGTGCTGAGAGTCTGAGGCCCCATTTCTGCTGTGTATATATCCTCATTCGGGGCTTTTATTCAGCAAACTGTTCATTCTTCTGTCAGGAAATGTCATATTCAAATCTGTTCATATTAAACCACTGTGAAGCAAGCCTCTGTTTTCTTTTTTTTTTTTTTTTTTTTGGGTACCGGGAATGGAACTCAGGACCTCACGCTTGCCAGGCAGGTGCTGTGCCACTGAGCAAAATCCCCAGCCCCGTTTTCTTGCTTAAATGGTAAATTTTGTATTTCTTAGAGTCGAAGATATGCTTGGTGTTGTGCATAAATCATACAACATGGTCAATGTCTCTTTTTTTTGAGACAGGGTCTCACTATGTAACTCAGACTGGCCTTGAACTCACTATGTAGCCCAGGCTGGCCTCAAACTCGCAGTGGTCCTCTTGCCTCAGCCTTCCAAGTACTGGGATTACAGGCATGTGCCACCATGCCTGACCATGGTCAGTGTCTTGAGGTGATAAATTTTGCTTATAAATTAAAAAAACCAGAACCCTAACGGACCATAGCAATATTTACCTGTCCTTTCTTACACTTTGCAACTGACTTTGTCACAGAGATAATGTATCTGTTTATAAAAAGTAGCCATCTGTACAATACCTGTGGTTTGGGTCAGATTTAGAAGATTCGGTTTTTAAGCTTGTGAGTTTGTGGGGTAGAATATGTTTATATTATATATGTGTGTATGTATATGTAATGTATGTACAAAAGCACACATAGGATGTACTTGTCCTCTGCCACACCCACATACCACCAACAAACATTATTTCTTTCATAGGCTTTTTACCTCAATAGACACTTTATTATCTTTCAAATACTGTAGATTTGATTGAGGGAGAAAGGTGGTTGGATATTTTCATCTGACCAATGCATTCTCAAATAGTTTCATGTTCAGAGTGAATTCTGGGGAGGGTTGGAATGAGGGGAGATAGTAGTCTTGTAATTTGGAAAGTTAAGCTAGTGTTAATGTAGTTCAGCATGGAAAGAAGGTATAGAAGATGATGTGTTCAAAACATGATGAAATTAAGGTAACTTCACAGTTTGGTTTTAAATAGAAGAGTAGGAGCTGAGGTAAGAAAGTTAAGAGTTTTGGTGATTGAAGAATGAAATGACTAAAAATATCTGAGAGTATGAGGGAGAACAGGCATTTGTGTTTGATAAAGGAAGAGTAAAGAGATGTAACCTTTATAGGCAGCAGTATTAGAGAATGAACTGGTGAGTAACTAGAAAAAGCAGCTGTACAATAAAGTATTAACAAAACCTTGGACATAACGACATTAATGTAACAAGTGTTAATAGTCTTCTGTGTACCCAGCCTTTTGCTGAATGCTGGGTTGGGAGTGGGGTGGGGTTGTGGTACAGGTAAAATACAATTAGATCTATTCCTTCATAGACCTTAGAATTTAGTTTAATAAGAGATTTCTGTCGTGCATAAGACAACAAAATGTTGGAGACAAAGTAAGATGACAGGTTCAGGCACATTTGGTTAACTGTCAAGTATGTTTTATCTTCTCCTTTTTCTTTTTTTTTTTGTTTTAAATATCAAGTCAGGTAAATTCTCTCTCTTTGGAGTCAAATTGGTGATTTTAGCATGGTAACTAGGTCCTGCAATAACCCTAAATCCAAGCTCTCTTACTCATGCACACTGAAGCGAAGATAGTTTTCTAAGAAATTTAAGTTTACCCATGTTTCTCGGTGTTAACTACTTTTGAGTCCCCTTTCTCCGTAGCACGGAAAGGGTTCAACCTTACACTGGGATCTGGGAGACAGAGATGAACAACAAATTTTCAACATAGCTAGACCTAAAAGGAGTCTAAATCTTCGCATTCCAAAGATGCCTTATCTACCATTTGACCGACTCTCTGAGATGGAGTTGAGCTAGTAAGGTGGGAGAGGTGAATAACATTCAGAATTATCTAGAGTTTTTGTTTGATAGATATTCTAGGTAAGACACTTGTATGTTGAAATACATGCAGTAATGACTTAAGTAAAATAACTTTCTGCTGTGGAAATGCAGACTAGCTGGTTACTGAATTGGACTTTTTTTCATATTCTTGAGAACATATCTCTTCTTAGATACAATAATAGTTCTAATTTTTCTTCATTTGGGTCATGTTTTAACCCTTTTATTTTTATTCTGAAATCTCTCCAAGGTCCTCCCATGTGCCTCAGTCGCAGAGTCTAAAACTGGATATAATTTTAATTATAGCCTACGGGTTAAGTGGTTGTTACTCCATTTATATATCATAGTATTCAAGTTTACTTTTTTATTCTTTAAAATTTTTTGGATTTTTGAGAAAGAGTTTCACTACATAGTTCATCCTGGCCTTGAACTCACTTTGTAGCCCAGGCTGGCTTCAAACTCACAGAGATCCTCCTGCCTCAGCCTTCAAGTTTAGTTTTAAAATGTAAACTCCTAGGGGCTAGGGATTTAGCTCAGCGGCACAGCGCCTGCCTGGCAAGCGCAAGGTCATGAGTTCGATTCCCGGTACCCAGGGGGGTGGGGAATATAAACTGTTTGTGACTGAATTAGCTTGTGGTTCTCTGCTACTCCCTTCCTCACCACCAGCCACCATTCACTCCTTTTTTTCCTTGCTTATGCAAAAAAAATTTTTTTCAATTCGATTCCATTTTATTTTGAGAGGAGGGTTTCACTGTGTTGCCTGGGCTGGCCTCAAACATGCACTCCTTCTACCTCAGCCTCCCAAGTAGCTGGGATTACAGGTGTATACTCCTGCGTCCAGCTTAATTTTAAGTTTATTTTGTCTTTCTACCGCTCTGTCTCTCTGTGTCTATCTAGTCTATCTGTGCTTTTAAAGATCAGAGAACCCATTCCTTACAAACAGAAAAAAAGGGGATAATTATCTGCATCACAAAAGGGTTCTTGAAATCACCGCAGGCTCCCTTTAAATAGGTGGTTGCTGTGGTGGTTTTAGTGTATATAGGTCATCAGCTACTTGATTTAGAGAAACTGAAGGTAGAGGGTTAAGAGGCACTGCCAATTGAAGATCAGCTAGAATTCAGGAGAAAATTAGTTCTTAAAGAAATAGTAACATATAGTTAGATTCACATAACTTTTATGCGTTTTCAAGAAAATGTTATTATTATACCTGTTTTTTTGATACTGGCATTGAACCTAGGGCCTTTGCACTGAGCTACATTCCCTGTCCTTTTTAATTTTTATTTTGAGATCCGGTGTGTTCAGGTTGGAATGGCCATAGATGCCTGCTCTATTTTTATTTTGAGACAGGATCTTACTAAGTCACCCAGTCTGGGCTTGAACTTAGTGATTCTCCTGCCTCAGCCTCCCAGAGTGCAGGGATTACAGGTGTGCTCCACCACACCTGGCTGCAATAATGCTTTTCTTTTCCTTTTTTAAAATTTTGTCTTTTGAGATAGGTTTTCTCTTTTTGAGACTATGTAATTCATGCTGGCCTTGAACTCACTTTGTAGTCCAGGCTGGCCTCAAACTCACAGTGGTCCTCTTGCCTCAGCCTCCCGAGTGCTGGGATTATAGGCATGTGCCACCATGCCTGGCCAATAATGCTTTTCTTGTCTAAATAAATTAACTTTTCATTCAACATCTGTACTAGTGGAGGTATATACATTTTAAATTTGTCATGTATTTTTATTCTAAAATTTAAATATAAGGATAGCTAATATTCATAAGGCTGAAAAATATTTTCTGTCATGATGGAAGACTTGGGAAGATCCAAAAGGAAGTAAGAAGTACTGGGGCTGGAATAAAACCTGACTTCTGTAGCTGGCTATAGGACCTTAAGGAAACTGCTTCACCACTTCAGGCCTGTTTGTGCAAATATAAAATGAGACTTGATTAAATGGTCTCTGAGGTATTTTTTTCTTGGTGCTGGGGATTGAATCCAGGGGCTCATGCATACCAGGCACACACTTTTATCAGTGACTTGTACCCTCAGCTCTCCATTCCTATAGTCCTAGTACTCTGGGAGGCTGAGGCAAGAGGACTGCAAGTTTGAGCCAAATCTGGGCAATTCAGAGATTTGGTGTTGAGATCCTGTCTGAAAATAACAAAAAATGGCTGGGGGTGTAGCTTAGTGCAAGGGTCCTGGGTTCAATTCCTGGTACTGAACAGCCCCCCCAACTCTGATTTTTATGTTTTCCCATCCTTGCCTAGGAGTTGAGTAAACCCTCAGGGGGTGATACTATACAAAAAGTAAAACATATTTTTTCCTGAGTGTCATGGAGTTTTATGTAGCATAATGAAGTTTTCTCTTCTAGAAGCGAATATCTCTTCATTTACCCTATTTGCATTGTTTGTTCATATCCCATTGTATCCAGTCATGAGTACCCCACTGAGACTGGTAATTGGGTTTACAATTGCCCTAAATTTATCTTTGCTTTTCTAGCTGAAATTTTTTAATAGTCACCTTTTACCTACACAGGGTTATTCATATTTAAAATATATATCAATTATAATTTCATTGATCTGATTATAAAAGTGCTTATTAAAATGTTTTATTGTGATAAAAATTTAAAAATAATGGCTGACAAAATTCAAACAAATATGTAAAGTAAAAAAATGAAAGATTTCTTCTTAACCTTTATACTTACTCCCATTCACAAAAAGTAGCTTTTAATTTGGTATGTCTTCCAAGACCTTTTTCTGTGTGTGTGTGTATGCATTTATTATTCATATATATGTGTAGGAATACCCACACACTTGTATATTGTTTTTCAAAACAAAATGGGTTATTATATGTACTATTTTATAGCGTTTTCATTGTGCAACATATTATGTACTTCTTGCATTAACACAAAGAATTCACTTCATTTAAAAATGGCTGTGTAACATGTTATGTTATGTTGTTATGTTATGTTATGTTATGTTATGTTATGTTATGTTATGTTACTGTTTGAGACAGGGTCTCCCTGTATAGCCCAGGCTAACCTTGAACTCTGGTGATCCTCCTGCCTCAGCGTCCTCAGTGCTGGGGTTACAGGCGTGCACCACCACACCTGGCTGCATAACATTTTATAGTATGGTTGTATCACAATTTAGTGAGTCACTTATGGATGGAAATATGCCTTTACTCATTCACTACTATAAATAATGCTACA